CAATCACCATGACCTTCTAATTTATTTAATTCATTAATTTTAATGTTTTTCCATTTGCAGTTTAATAGTTAAGCCCCATTTAAGTTTACACCACTTAAATCAACATTGTCGAATTCTGATCCACTAAAGTTACATCTCACAAATGTTCCACCTATCAAAGAGGTATCCTTAATCCTAATGTCTTCCCAACTCTAATTACTTAGATCTGTCTTCAATTCTACCAATAAATTAAGTGAATTAGATCCACTCTACATGAAATTCTTGTCAATAGCTGTAAGGTGAACTAAAAATTTTAAAAAATAGACTATCTTCTCCTATTTAGCTATTTTAGTAACAAGTTTTTGTCTAATTTATTAGTAAGTTTAATGCCAATAATCATTCTTATTAAATGTGTGTTGACTAATATTAATAAGAGCATTTCTTATTTTATTAATGTTATTTTATTCTAATTATGCTAATTACTTTTCATTTTCTTGCTTTACAAAAAATTCTAAAATGTCAGAATTATTTTGATTTCTTAGCAATTCTAATATCCTACTTAATATTTAGACATCAATGTCTTATAAGGAAGTTAAAATCTCTTACAAATCTTCCTTCATCTCAAATTAAAATTATTGAAAATCATTAAATTACTCAAGCTCCTTAATTATTACATCGATAGCCATCTAAAATATTTCAAGATATATACTTGCAAACATGCTTCTCTTTTATCAGGGAAGCTTTTTAAATCAGCACTTAGACCAAGTTCCACAAGTATAAAAAGACCATCCTCTTATTCTTCAAAAGATAGTACCTCAATTAAATTTTCAAATTTTTTCCCTTTGAGAGTTTTCAATATCATCTTTTCATGTTGGCTTATTGACTATTACCATCTTAAAGCAAAATCACTTCCATCTTTTCTATGAAATTAATAAACAGCACCAAGTCCGAATTGCCCAATTTTCTTTCCAATTTTTACTGATACCTATTCAACTTAAATTATTTAACCCTTAGTGAACATTAATGGCAAACTCTATTAAAATTTATTGTTTTATTCAAAATATATATCAGTTTATAGAATAAAAATGACGCATTAATGCAGTTAAAAAATAAGAAATTATGAAATTTCTTGAAGAAGTCTTAAAGAGAATTAATTTTATTATAAACTTTTTTTACAACTATTCTAAGAATACAGAGAAATACCTAAGATTATTGTGTTATTTGTTAAAAAATTTAGTTAAAAGTAAGAATTCGAAATAAACCACCAAAACAAAAGTATTTTTATTGTGAAAAAAATTGATATACTTTGATTGATGAGTCCTAGCTTTAGCTTTTAATTAAATTATTTATATTAATTGTCTTAGATTAATTATTGATTTTTGTATAAAATAAACTTATCTTAATTTTTTAGGATATTTCATTTTTTAAATCAACTCAAGTATCTTTCTTCTCTTTTAAATTTTCTTATGTTTTTCTTTTTATTGACATTCACCCTACACTTCTAATTATTCATCGAATCTTAATACTTATTTTTAAAATGAGTTGTTGTCAAAAAAAAACAAAAGTTCTATTTTTTAATATATTTAAAAGAGATTTTAGTATTCATATGATTTCTTTATTAATTTATCAAAACTTCTACTTGTTTTTTTGACTATTCAATTTTTTAAGATTCTTTTGGTTGGTTAATTTCTTATCCTAAAGTATAATATTCTTTCTATTAATTGTAGGAAAGAGTACATAGTTTAAAGTCATTTTATTATAAGTTGTTTTATAAATAAGTTTTTTAATGAAAATTCATTGCACTTTCGAAAATGTTTCTTTTCTTGTAAAAGGTACAATCAATGGTAGAATTGCTTATAAAGCAACTATCACAACAGCGAAAATTTTGAAAATTAGTTTGCTTTATTTCTTTCCATTCCATCTTCTTTTTTTTAATTTAAAAGTCAACTTTTTTCATTATGTATTACCTTTATATACTCCTGATTGAGTAATAAATATTTTTATCTTTTATATCATGCTAGGATTATATGATTGCCTTCTCTAATTTATATTTTTTATCAACAATAGATACTTATCGAGAAGAGTTGAGCTAACTATAAATTTTAGACAGATAAATGCAATTAAAATTTTTATTTAATTTTCATCATAAAAAAAAGGCTTGAAAGTATTAATTGCTAAAAAAATTCTTACAGTAATCTTCAGAGATCATTAGATAAACTCCTATACAGTTTAACAGTAGTAAGAAATAACAACGAAATAATCCTTCCCATCTCATATACAATCCATACCTTAATTCAATTACCAAATCCGATAAGATTAGCCAAACACATCATTTGAATTAAGAATCTTGCTCCTAATCTGTAAAGCAATTTGAATCAGGGTTTTTATCGATGAATTCCTCATCGAAATATTTTTGTTAATTTTTTTTCAGAATCAAAGCTAAAAATAAATCACACCACAAGTAAAAAGATTGATTGAAAACCATGCCATAAAGCTACAAAGTAAACACAACCCACATATTCAAAGATTTGTATATAGAGCCTTCCGATTGAATATATATATACCTAATCAACCATTAATTAAAACTTCTATGCCATAATCTCCAAAATCTACTAAAACTATAATTATTATAGATGCATCTATTCATATTTTCAGGTTTCTCAATTTCTGAAGACCATTTAAATATTCATAAAATACCATCAATTAATGCCCAGGCTCTAGAGATACACCAGATGATCATAAATTTGTACCAGATAAAAATTGAATTGACAAATGACATAACATGAAAATCAAAAAATGGCAAGGTTTACCAAATATTATTATTTTCTTCTATATTCGATATAGCATTTGGATAACAAATGTGTATAAATATTACAAATGTTAATGAATTCAATACATAAACATGAAGAACATAATATATTATTACTTCCTTTATATTTTTATTTGCTTATTAATCTTTATTTTAATTGAGTGTTGAAAGCATTAAATTTGATAGTATGTCCTGTTATAAATAAGGGCGTATAATAAATACATGCAAGATAGGCAAGGAAATTATATTCTGATATCCTAATTTTACTTAACAAAATCTCTATACTCCTATCCAGATGTCTTGATTGATATTTATTTAAATTAATTTATTTAATTAGTATATATATAATACTTTCTAGAAAAACTTATGATTCTCAATAAAACTAAATTGAAGAGGCGAGGCCATTAAATTCGTTGTTGCTCTGCTTCGATTTAATCAATGATTTCTAATTAAAATTAAATCCATTTAGTGTTTCATTGAGGTACAAAAATACCAAAACAATGCCGATTAAGATAAGACAAAGTATTTTAAATTAATTAAATATTTATTATGATTGATTGAAATACCATTTGCAAAAAGTAAAAAATCAACAAAACTATAAATTAAAAAATTAAACCAAAATTTATTGCCACAAAACTGAAAATTAAACCTTTTGTAATTTTGAAGAATTTTAAGTTTTTAAGTTAAGTGTTATTATTGGAAATTTTTTAATTATATGTGAGTCTAACAGAAAAAAAATTAGAAAAAAATTTCTTACATTCTTCCAAACTGACCTATTTAGAATTATTTTTAAATATCTTCAGAGGTTCCAAAAACATATTAGCCTTTGGAAATTATGCAGAATCTAATAATAGAAGCTATTTCTCCAACTACTGCAGTCGTATCTATAAATACAACTGTTATTGAGAGAAATTGAAATTTTTCCCATTTATCAAAATAAAATAAAATAAAATTGATCATTAAAATATATTTGAGTTCATATGTTAATTAATTTTACACATTTTAGGAAAATAACTCATAATCTTTTTTCGATGAATTAGAATAAATAATAATTAATTATGAATTACTTAAATGAATAATCATTTCTCATACAGTAGCTCATACTTATTAGTATTATGATGCAAATAACCCATTCCTAAATTAAATTTAACGAAAGTTTTTTTAAAGAAATTTTTTATTTATTTCAATATTTTCTAAATCCTCTGTGATAAATGAGATTTTAAGTTTCTAACAAACTCCAGATTTTTATAAAATCAAATATTTTATTAAATGTTTCTTCTAAGTCTTAAGGTATTTATCCAATGAAATTTCTCATTTAAATTTTATTGTTTCTCTTATCAATTTTAATCTTGTTTTCTACTTCCAAAATTTAGATATCCTCTAAAAAAGTAGCCCATTAATTGTTCTCCAATTTATTTCTAATTTCTTTAACCTAAAACATATTAAGAATTGATTTAAGGATGAGAGTAGCTATTAACTAAGAACACAAGTAATTTATGTAACTAAAACTAAATTCTAGACATCAGAACTACTACAATTTAAATTAATATATATAATTTTTTAATAGACTAAGCAACAGGGTTTAATTAATATTTTATTATTAAAAATCAAAGTAAAAAACATGAAATTGAAATTTCTCCAATAGTGCTAGATGTTTTGTAAAGACTAATTTATCTACAGATAGAAAAAGTTAATTGAAAGCATTCTGAGCTTACTATAATCTCCTTTAACAATGCTTTGTTATTGGTTTAGGAGATTTTAGTAATTCTAGATAATTCTTCATACGGTTCATTAAATGTTATAAATTAAAGATTTGAGGGAATAATTTATGATTCTAAGATATTCTCTTCAAAATTTCTTTATTCTTTAATGCAGGAGTTTAATTAACAGGATAAAACATGTTGTCTGAGGTTGATTTTAATTTTATCATATAAGAAATTAATTTTTATTGGCAAGACACACACTTATACACTCAATTGATTCATTGTTTTTTACATGTACCTAGTTTCAGCTAAAGTTTTAATTGATAGATGCCTGGAATAAAGATCATTTGTTTTTCTAAGATTGATCTATCCAGTTATCCAACTTTAAGTGATGAATGTTCAATTTTATTCATGTAAGGATAAGTCTAGCATATTTTATGTGAATTTATTTAATAAACTATCAAAAGCATTTGAACAGTATTTAAAATAATCATCATCAATTGTATGATATCTATGATTTATTTTATGGTAAAAGGTTAAAAGATTAAATCCAGGCTTCTTTCTATTTTACTTAGCTTTATCAATGCGATGCAATATATTTCTAATCATGATTACTATCTACCATCGATTTAAAATAGAATCTAAACTCTTCAAGTGTATATTTATTAACCAAAATATACAAAAAGCCCTTATTCTTTCTTGCATAATATTTAATTTTCATCATAAAAAAAAGGCTTGAAAGTATTAATTGCTAAAAAAATTCTTACAGTAATCTTCAGAGATCATTAGATAAACTCCTATAGAGTTTAACAGTAGTAAGAAATAACAACGAAATAATCCTTCCCATCTCATATACAATCCATACCTTAATTCAATTACCAAATCCGATAAGATTAGCCAAACACATCATTTGAATTAAGAATCTTGCTCCTAATCTGTAAAGCAATTTGAATCAGGGTTTTTATCGATGAATTCCTCATCGAAATATTTTTGTTAATTTTTTTTCAGAATCAAAGCTAAAAATAAATCACACCACAAGTAAAAAGATTGATTGAAAACCATGCCATAAAGCTACAAAGTAAACACAACCCACATATTCAAAGATTTGTATATAGAGCCTTCCGATTGAATATATATATACCTAATCAACCATTAATTAAAACTTCTATGCCATAATCTCCAAAATCTACTAAAACTATAATTATTATAGATGCATCTATTCATATTTTCAGGTTTCTCAATTTCTGAAGACCATTTAAATATTCATAAAATACCATCAATTAATGCCCAGGCTCTAGAGATACACCAGATGATCATAAATTTGTACCAGATAAAAATTGAATTGACAAATGACATAACATGAAAATCCAAAAATGGCAAGGTTTACCAAATATTATTATTTTCTTCTATATTCGATATAGCATTTGGATAACAAATGTGTATAAATATTACAAATGTTAATGAATTCAATACATAAACATGAAGAACATAATATATTATTACTTCCTTTATATTTTTATTTGCTTATTAATCTTTATTTTAATTGAGTGTTGAAAGCATTAAATTTGATAGTATG